TAAAATAAATTTAATAATAATTCTTTTTAAATTTTTTTATTTGTTTTTTGTTTGAAAAATCACTCACATAATATATTTTAATTTTAATTAAAATAAATTTTATAAAAAAAAAAATTAAATGTAATTATTTTTTTTGTACGATGTGAAGCCGTTGTGATGGTGGGATAAAACTTCTATGTGGATGGCAATGTCACATGCCTGAGGAGTAACAACGTAATACGGTAAAGAAGCGTGCCAACCTGATTGTGTTCAAGTGTTTAACTGGTGGCAAAGCCAAAAACATCTTGACAAATGAAATAGGATCATATAGAACTTCTCGAAATCATAAGATCTTCATGATATAGAAATTGTGTTACGACCTCATCTTTCTCGTGAGAAGGTTTTCAGAGAACAGTTGTTTAGGTTTATTGAGTTGTTGATAGTCTTAACTCTTAGCCGTACCTGCCATCAGCTACATGCCTCACATTTCACTAAGATGACTTAAAGGTCCTTTCTTGTAATGAGGTTTTGCCGAGTTGGTCATTTGAGCTTTTTCCCTAACTGCCAGAGGTGGCCTCTGGATCATACATGCAAAGGCTTTTTAAACGTTAGATTGGCAATCAACTCTTTATCCTAAGGGACTTTCTCATACCAATAAAATGTGCTTTTTGTATTATTTGTTTTCTTCCACGAACATTGAATAGAGGGTCTCTACAAACAAGGACCTCTTCAAAGATCCCAAACCCAATCCCAGATTCATATTCTATAATGCATGCTATTGCCATCTTTAGTTAGAGATTCTACTTAAACAACAATAGTATCTCCAAATCTAAAGTTTTTCAATATTGCTATATGCCACAATCCACAACGCTCTGTTTGTAGTATGTGTTGGCTTACTATAGATGGTTGCTATCACTATCAGGTTGATGCTACTGCTTCTAAATACTGCTTTAATGGATGGCATCAGCTCTTTTCATGAACCTAGTAGATATTCTACTTGCATTAAATATGAGTGGCCCACATTTTGGGTCATTGTCATTTAAATATAATGAGAAAAGGGTTCTGTAATTGTGTTTTTCATTCATCTTCTTCCTCCGCAGAAACCAAAAACCAGTGGGCACGTGATGATCCTGCTTTTATTGTAGTTTGCATTCTTCTTTTGGCAGTTACAACTCTTGCTTATTGTGCTACGTAAGTTTTTGGTATATCCATCACTTGCCATTCTGGAAGTTCTTTAGGAATTCACTGGGGGACCTTTTTTTGCACCAGTAATTTTTAAAGAAGCAAGTCGGCTGGTCCCACCACCTCTCATGTTGGAGACTTGCCATGCTTGTTCATGAAACAGTATATTCTTGACTTGCAGTCTTTGCATCCAAATAGTCTTACTTTTCAGTAGTAATCATCTTACATATATTCTTCATTTGTCAATGAAACACACTAAAAACAGTTGCAAATGATTCCCATGAAATGGTTTCTGAGGAAAGAGTTCCTGAATGAAATGATTTACCTCCAAAAAATATATATTTATTTACGGCCTCTAGTCAATTATACATTTTTTGTTTGGACCATAATTCGGATTTTATGCTGCTATGTTCAATTTATTTCAGGTATGATCATAGCACCAGACATGCTGTTTTTGTGGTCTTCTCTGTGACGATTATTCATTTTTTATTAACAGGAATGGTTGTGGCTACATTCTGCTGGTAAGAGTTGATACCAATTGCATTCAAACATGGATTGGAATGGAATACAATTCCAAATCTCGCAAACCAAACTGGCCCTTAAGGGTTTTTGATACCGTATACTTGTTTCCTTAACCTTCTTTTACCGTTTGCATGTAAATGTTCTGCAGGTTCTTGACAAATACTTATCTTCTGGAGGAAACCCCGAATAGTCATGTGGTAGAACAAAGGGTTGAATGGCAAGTTCACGAACTTACTTTTCCACTCTTCTTTTCAGTAAATATTCTGGCTGTATGCATTTTACTTTAGAATTGGAATTTTGAAAACGTTTTACCTACAGGCTGTACGCATTCGATGTGCACTGTAATTCCTTCTTCCCGTTGTTCATCGTGCTGTATGGTCGGTGCCGTGGTTCATATCTTTCATTTAGCTTTAATGAAATTATTTGTGGACCAACATAATCTTATTGCTTGCTTTTGTGGCAGTGCTACATTTTTTTCTATCACCCCTTCTGGTAGCTCATGGCTTCATTCCACTCTTGCTGTCAAATGTGATTCTTATGGTGGCTGTATCTTACTATCACTACCTCAAACTTTTTAGGTTATGATGGTAAGAAATTTATGAAAAATGGAAATATTTTAATGGCTGAATATGCTCAGACACATCTTTTGTGCAGTGCTGCCATTTTTAGAGAAGACCACTCTCTTCCTATACCCGATCGGGGTAGTCATCATTCTTACACCCATCTGTAAGTGTCGAATTCATCTCTAATCTCTCTCTGTCGTAGTAGTTTTATATATTGTTTTGATTATTAAGGTTTACGGTTTGAATTTAGCAGTTATCTTAAGCGGCTTTAATCCTTCGAGATACTTTCTGAACGTTTACTTCAGTAAACGGGTATGAGGTCAAAGAGTAAGTTTCATATGTTATGAGCTGCTGGGATTGAGAAGTCGCATGAAAATTAGAAAGAAGATCCAATGGGTGATGTATGATTGATTCATATGTAAATGGAATATGCACAACCAAGAGGTTCTTATGTGTAAGGCTGGCTCCTTGTGCCATTTTGATTGTTTTTTTTTGAAGTATATAATACATATATACGGCAAAGAGAACAAATAAACTCACACACCCTCCTCACCTTTGGTGAGGTTTGAACCCTTGACCTCCTAGAAGGCGAAAGACTCACATACCGCTAGGCCAAATGCCCTTTGGTTTGATTGTTTTATGTATAAATGACCATTATTTTTCTCCTCTTATATTTTCATTTTTGTATCCAGAATTTCCCAATGTTTGCATAGTAAGATGATATGAAATTGTGTTGGAGATTTGATATGCACTAGCTATAGCCCGTAGGATGACCGTTTTCGCTTGTGCAACGGTCCTAACCAAACCGGAACTTTCTATGAGCCGGTTATGCTCCGGAATACCATGATTGCGTGTTCATCGGTCATACGCTGCTGCTACGATGGTTATGTGCCTCATAGCACCATGATGCGAGTCATGATATTTTTGTCATTGGTTGATGCTTCCACTTGAAATTCCATTATACGAATGAACATTGTTTCGCCTCGGTCTGAATGGAATCTAGAATTAGATTACTGATTAGATGCGTAGTAGAGTTCTCATCTTACCGGCGAGCTTTTTGTGATAAAATGTTTCCGTCGGTTACCACAAATCAAAGGTTAAATTAATAAATTAATAATTTTGATAATTTTAACTTAAAATATTAATGAAGGGCATTTTAAGGGGTTTATAAATATCCTCTTTTATCGCTCCTCTTTCCTTTCTTCGGCGAACCTTATTCTAATGAACCTTATGTGAACATAAGATACACACTGTGATACCTACAAACGATATTCACTATGATACCCAGATATACATACAAGATGCACAATGTAAACCCTTTGTAAACAACGAGAATAACGAAAATGCATACTATGATACATTTCATAAAACAAAGAAAATACATTGTGATACACGTGAAAAGTTGTGAACATTATCACTATGATACACTTTGATTCACAAACGTCTTTAAAATATGATGTATATTAGGTAATTGATATGCTATTGCTAGGTAACTAATTTTAATTAAATATTTCATTCTAAAAACTTTAATTAAATATTTTGATTAGTTGTCAAAAATAAAATTACTAATTACTCTTTTAGTTTATTTAAGAAATATTCTTAAATATCTTAAACGAGTGGTTCACATTGGATCTCACGGTTACTACAAATTAATCAATTTTTCCTTGAATGAACCCCTATTATATATATATATATATATATATCTAGAGGAGTGATCAAATGAAAACCACCCTCATTTGTAAAAACCGTACAAACCATCTCATATGTCGATTTCATTGTTTAATCTCATGAAATTTTTTCATGAAATTGTTTAATCTTATGAAATTGTTTCATATAATACTTTTTTTGATGAATTTGTTTCATATATGATTATGAAATTGTTTCATATAATATTTAATGAAATTTTATTGAATCTGTTTCATGTATTTCTCTAAAATTAAAATAATGAAGATGATAATATCCATGATTAACACCCTCCACAATAAAAATGGTTAATCAACCTCTAATAATTACAAAAAAATGAACAAAATGAAAAATTATTATTGGTTGAATGAGGTTTTCACAGTTTTTACAAATTAAGTGGTTTTTATTTGAACGCTCCCCTATATATATATATATATATATATATAAAATATAAGAGAGAGAGAGAGAGAGAGAGAAAGTTTACTTTGCAAACCATGTTATTTATACAAACCGTACAAACCTCATTCAACCAATCATTTTTTTTTAATTATGAGATAGTGATTAATCATTTTTATTGTTGATGGTGTTAATCATGTATATTATCATCTTCATTATATTAATATTAAAGAAATACATGAAAATTTTCATTAAAATTTTATAAGTGTTATACGAAACAATTTCATAACCATATATAAAACAACTTCATCTAGAAAAGTATTATATTATACAATTTAATGAAACAAAATATAAAATTAAACAATAAAATCGACGAATAAGGGTGGTTTGCACGGTTTGTATAAATATGAGTGGTTTGTATTTGATTGCTCCCCCCCCCTCTCTCTCTCTCTATACACACACACACACACACACACACACTTGGGATCACTTGAGGCCAACCTGTTTTGGTGAGACCCGTAAGACCATTTTTTTTTTATCTCTCTCGTTTCTTGATGAAATCCCGAAATTCTAAAGTCGTTTACTCCATTACACCTTTAGGAACATCTTTACAAAAATTCAGCCGAAAATTCCCATTTATAGGGCGTCAAACCTGTCATTAAATCCCAAAAACGTGATTTGAGAATGATTTTCTCAAATTCCAATCATTTCCAAATCAATTTTTCTCATTTGGCAAAACTAGTAACTTTAGTTTTCCTTTCTGCATTTTCATCTTAAATTTGTTAAATACAAAATATTCAATTTCCTTTTTTATTGATTTTATTTATTGTAATAAAATCATATTTTTCGAGTATCGACACTACTCCCGTATGTCTTTTACTCTTTAAACTTTAATCCTTAACATTTATTTATTTCATGAATCATAAATTTTTAGGATGTTATATTTGACTATCATCCTGATTTTTGTGAACACATAGTGTACACCACATGTTGTGCACAACTTGCAAATAGGAATCATATGGTGGGATGAAAATATGCACAATGTGCACACCATCTGGATTCACGAGAAGACCAACTATTCACTATATCTGGATCTGAAGGTGATATGCACACTCTGTGATCACATTGTCCACACTTTAAAAACAAACTAATTATGAACACATGCACTATATTGAAATTAAGGAAATGAGTGACGTATACCACATGTTGTGCACAATCTGCAAATAGGATTATATGGTGGGATGACAATATGCACAGTGTGCACACCATCTGGATTCACGAGAAGACCAACTGGTCATGATATCTGGATCTGATGGTGATGTGCACACTTTAAAAACAAACTAATTATGAACATATGCATACTCTCATCATTTCTATAAATATCTCAATTAATTGGTTTGTACTGATGGTTGAATTTGTGAGAGATCTCTCCCCCTCCCATCCCCCTTCTCTCTCTCTCTCTCTCTCTCTCTCTCTATATATATATATATATATATATGCTTTGAAGGACCATTTTGGTAATTGCATTTAATTTTATCGTTTACACCTTCATATATATATAAAAGAAGACAAAAAAGAAAATAAAAATAAAACACACTACATAGAGATATTTAATTAGCCTTTAAAGCAAATCCACCTTCAAACTAGACTCGTTCAGAAAAACTGTCTACTAATATTTTATTTTAATTTAATTTGTAAATTAACCTTAAACGACCTTCTGGAGCAAGCTATCTTCCTGAAGAATAATGCATACCGGAGTATTACCAAAACCATGAGCCCTAGCTAGCATCACTTCCTTCATTAATGAACCAAACTCCTGGCGGTCAAGCGTCCCTTTCTTTTCGGTATCAAATTTCTCGAACAATGCATCATATAGACTATCAACCTCTTCTTTGGATTGTAGCTCGGATTCCACTGAAGACGGATCGTTCATCTCCTTCTGGAGTTCGTCACGAGACAAAACTCCGTCACTATTCACATCTAACATGCTAAATCGTTCATCGATGCATTTCTCAAAAGTTTCTGAATCCTCGACAAATTTCTCCACCATTGGACCATCAATAAAAGCAACACTCATATTTTCGAAAATCAAAATTAACTTCAATGGCTTTTTTTTGTAATGAAATTGTTAATTAGGGTTTGAGTGTTGATGTTTATAAAGATAGAAATATGTTCCTGAATTAAAGGACTTCCTTTGAAATGCTTGAAAGCCCTTCATTTTAGATCATGAAAGGTTTTGAAGGGTTCTTATGCTATTTGGCATCTTCCCTTCCAATTATTTTATTTTAATTTATTTTTAAAATGTAATATTCAAGTCTCTGCTATTAATTTATAAGACGTTTTTTGATATCTTAACAAGTTTATTAAGACACTTTTAAAATTTCTTATTATATATATATATATATATATATATATATATATAAGGTTGGGTTCACGTGAGACCAAATGTTTTTCATGAGACCCGTAAGACCAATTTATGTTCATTGATCAACTTCATAAGTTAATGATCTAATGGTCTTAATTGCACGGTGACAATTTTGTGATTATTGAGAAGTCTCGTGGCGTTTATGAATGTTTAGATTTTCAGATTGTTGACCTAATCCAAGGGTTAAGAATTGGTCTTACGGGTTAACGAAAAACCATTGGTCTCACATGATCCCAAGTCTATATATATATAAATCTTACCCTATCAGAAATACACAACCGGGTACGATATCACATAATCTCACCTCATCGTCAACAGGTACAATAACACTTAATCTTACACGATTGTTTAATTAACCAACCGTGTATGATAATTATTAATCTTACCCAGTTTGTTAAATAAATCAATCAGGTGCAATAACACCTATTATCTTAACCGCTTGGTTAAGTAAACAATCGAGTACAACAATTGTTATTCTTACTCGTTAAATAGACTTGCTGATTATGATAACACACAATGATACTCAGTTAATCAACCATACATGATAATTGCTAGGTTTACCGACTGCTTAGCCAAACAACTAGGTTTGTTAATTATTAATCTTCCTGATTGATTAACTAACCAATTGCGCACAATAAATTATTGATCTTATATAGTTTTAAGTAAGACGCAGAGTATGATAATTGTTTTCCATGGTGATCCTGGTTGTAGACCAATCACCAAACTCCTCATCATGGCCACCATGGTCTGTGATTCACCAAGGGTCCATTTTGTTTGCGGGATTTGGTGGGATTTGAAATTTGATTCCATTTCAATCATGTGTTTGGTTTAAAGGAAAGTTTGGAATTGAAATCTTGGGATTTCAATGAAATCACACAAACATTGGATCTAGAAAATCACATGGAGGTAGTTTGTAACACATGTTTCCGTTAGATGCATCTATAGGTTGATCAAACTACTCTTGGTGTGTGTTAACCTTGAGCTAACGGTATTTAATCATATTCTTTAGCCTTGAGTTGTTTCAAAGTCAAACGATTAAAGAAAACAAAGATTTTAGGCATCATATGGGTCACGACGACTTGGCACGCGACTTGGGTCACAATTGAAATCGCCTAAATCACTGGAGTGCCAAAACAAAGTTGAAATCCTGAAGGAGGAGTTAGGAAACCGGGGATGCGACCAGGGTCTTTTTTGAGGTCTCATACATGATGTGATGAGTGAGATTTTGGGCACGAGCGAACAAATATGCGACCTAGGTAGCATATAAGGTCCCATATGACCTGTAGACGGATAAAAATCACATTTTTTAGGGGTTCTTTTTTCCCGTTTGGGTTCCATCCTCCCCACTTCTCTCTTGATTTATTTCATTTTGGGGCTACTATTTGGAGTTTTTGGGAGGAAAAGAAGAGTATGGAGTAAAAACTTTGGTTTGGAGACTCGAAAGAGCTCCATCATAGGGTTTTCCGTTGGAAGGATACAATCGTTGATAAGGTAAACTCTTTGATTATTTTCAGTTCCAGTTGGGGATCTTGATAGATCTGGAGTTTATGCCCATTTTTGGTGTATTATAGTTTGAGCTATGTTTTTTTATGAATTTCTTGGATGAAATTTGCTTATGGATCTCAAGCCTATGTTTTGGAAGATAAAGATTTAGGTTTGGAAACTAGGTTTAACGTAACCTAGCAAGCAAAGTGAGTTCAAGTTGTTTTGTTAAAACTTTGTACATATAAAAAATGTGTATTTTGGAGTCTTAAAGTGTTTTCCTTAAGATTTATCAAATTTTGTTGGTTACTTAATGAAATTACACATTTTGCACATTTGGTTTCATAAAATCTTGAGAAATGCATAGTTGGAGTTTTTGGGCATTTTGATAATAAATCATAAAATATGTGGATTTTGTCCAAACTTTAAATAAATAATATAGATGTCTAAACCTTTTGGGGCATAAGTTGTATCAACGTGGAATATTTGTATTCTATTGGTTTATGTTGACTTTTATTGTTTAATCAAGTGAGTCGTTGAGTTATTGGCTTAGTTTTGACTCAGACGAGTTTTGAGGAAATTTGTCCAGTTTAATTTGCTCAGTGTTGAGCTTTGGACGTGATATATAGTTATGACATATTTATTTGAAAATTACATGTTTTTAGTACGTCGGTCATTGAATTAACGTTGTGTAATTTAGACTGCTGTGATACCTTAAAATGGGGTAAAAAATAAATATGAAAACAGAAGAAAAATAAAAATAAAATTGGTTTTTATTTTTATTGAAACAAAATGTGAAGAAAAACGTGAAAAGAGACAAATCATGTCATTTAATAAAAGTGAGAAGTGACGAATGGAGCTTATGTTCAATGAAACTAAGAATGAAAGAAAATGTCAAATTAGGGTGAAAAGTGTTATATTGGTCAAAATACAGAAGATAAAGAGAAGAATGTCATTATTTGATAGTTCAGGGGATGTGTTGACATCAACATCCTCATATTTGAGGGACCTGTTTTGTATAAAACAACGTAAACTTGAAAAAGTCTTAATGATTGACGAACTTTGAAGTAAAAAAAAAAAAAAAAAAAAAAAAAAAAAAATTCAAATTTAAGTACCTAATACCATCGGGGATGGATCCATAATTTTTTTTAAACAGTGGTATCATTTGACTATTAGAAAAAAATATGGGGAAAATTTTCAAACGGTGGCACTGTTTGACTATAAGAAACAAATATACGAATTTTTTTTTTCAAATGGTGACATCATTTGACTAAGAAAATGACACTAACAGGATTCGAGCTTGGGTGTGGGGTGGAATAAAAGTCTTGCAAACCAACTCTACCAAATAAAATTTGTTCTTCTTGTAGTTTTAAAATACATATGGTGACACACAACAAATTAATACGGTTGCACTGTTCACGGAACCTAATTTTTTTACTCTTCGGCGGAGAAATAATACAGTTCATGAATACCACCAACTACATTTTTTGTTCAATAAAATTCAGAAAACGCTGAGAAACGGAGAGAAATAGAAGCTCATATTCCCTATATGAAATCTTGGTTTTTCGACTATTGGAGGTAAAAATACTCATCCAAGCTTCGAGTTTTTTATATGGTTAGTTTTGCTTTAAGTCCTTATCAAACCTTTATGACCTTATGATTTTGGTTTAGAAGTCCGATCTTTGAGTTTTTTTATTTGTTTTATGAATTTTTTAAGATAATTAAGATAATCCTTGTGTTCTAACAAAATACTTAATTATTATCTTTATAAAAAATTTATATTATTAAATCTAAAATAAATTGTTTCGTTATTAAATCTAAATTAAATTATAATAAAAAAATGAATTAAAGAAATTACGCAACAAAACAATAACTTTTAAATAGTTAATTTGATATTAATATCGATATATTTTTTTAAAAAATTTTAAGATTCTTCAAATTTATATTTTATTCAAAGAACTTTTAAATAGTTAACTTGATACTAATATATATATATATATATATATATATATATATATAATTTTAAGACTAGAAACGTACTCGCGCAATGCAGCGAGATACATCGTGATTTTAATATTTCATTTTATTCTTTATCTCAGTCGATGTTATAATATGGCTTTATGTGATTTTGAGAAGACGATGATGTTTTTATTCTTGAATAAAATATATGTTTGAAGATATCATAAAAATTTGACAAAAATATATCGATATTAGTATCAAATTAACTATTTGAAATTCCTCATTTTTTTTGTGTAATTTTTTAATTCAATTTTTTTTTATAATTTAATTTATGTACAATAACGAAGTAATTTATATTTGGTTTAATAATATAATTTTTATAAAGATAATAAT